TTAAGTATTGAAAGCCAATCAAGAGAAAATTTTTAGAAATAATTAAATATTATACATATATAATTACTGAATAGTTTTCATTGTACTGGGTTATCATTTTTGTGACTCTGGATTGACAGCACTATTTGAGTAATATATGTTAAATGAAACTATTACCCAGTGTATCATATATTTAGTTCAGATACTGCCATTTTACCAATTGAATCATGCAATACAATGAAGATAAGCTGAGATTGGGTACTCGAATAAAAGCATTTAAATAACACTTTTTTAATTTAAGCTTTTTTTCGAGGATTTTGTTCAACTGCAAGACCTCGCCTTGCATAGCCTTACCTTCTGCTCAACAGGTACTTGAATTTTGTAAATAAAACACACAAATTTAAATTTTATTCCAAATTTATTTTATCTCCTTTAAAATATGCTCGTTCTGAAGCGATACACATATCCCAACGCTTAACACAATCTTCCATACACTTTTCGTAGGCCCGTGAAGGTATGGCTTTTAGTTCCTTCGGCGAATTCTCTTTTACCGATTTAATCGACTCAAAACGCTTACCACGAAGTGGCAATTTGAGTTTCGGGAACAGGAAAAAGTCGCACGGCGCCAGATCTGGCGAATATGGTGCCTGAGCGATGACAGTGGTGCCGTGTTTGGTCAAAAAATCGCATACAACAAGAATTTTCTATAGTAAAAATCGCTAAATGCACTTGAGGTGGTCTCACATTAACAGCTGCTATAAACAAACTAATTGACAGATGGCGCTCAAATTTGTACCATATGTCAAGAAAGGGTGTACCAATGTAACAAAAAAATTTTGAAAAAGGTCTATTACTTAAGGAGTAGTTAACAAACAACAAAATCCGGATACTTTTTGAGCAGTAGGTATAGGCTTTGCAAAAGTAGTTCTCAACCTCTGTGTTTTTCTATTTACGACAACACATTGGGCTTTTCGACCTAAGTGGATATCTTAGGATCATCAGTATAAACTACCTACCTAACATTTTCCCAAGTCCATCTGTTTTAAGTGCTAAATCAAATTAGTTTATGAATTAGTAAAAGTCTACAAGTAACTCTTAGAAAATCATTGTATTCACTGTTTGGTATGATATTTGGTTTAAAAGTGTACCTGTAATCTATTGTTTATAATTTACTGATATAGACGATAAAATAAAGAGGACGAGGTATCGTAATGCTAATGATGACTCTCAAGGGGAGTCGAAATATAGAGTATAATAAGAAACATTGAACGTTTAATGGTTTAAAAAAAAGGAACTACAGCAAGATTAAACATTTATATAAAAAACCATTATACCTAAATTTTTATTTAAACAAAATCTATTTGTAAGTTTAACAGGCAAGAGAACAGATAACAATTAATAGAAACAAAATGGGATCCAAGTAAAATATGTTAATTCAGATATCACCGATTATATACACGGCATTGAGCTATATACATTTTAATTTAATTAGCCATGAATGTAGTGAATTTTAAAGAACAGATATATTTATATAAAAGAAAAGAACTTCTAAGCTAGCGACACTTCCAACTTTCCCTTAATACTGAAATATGATGTCAAATCCAAAATATTCGAATGAAATTGAGTTAAATGTCACTTTTGAGTTAAAAATGTTTATCCCCTCTTTTGAGTGCTAAAACAAAGAAGAAAATAAGAGAAAACCATGTAATGTAAATAAGATATTTTAATCATTTTTCCTATCTTGGTTTTAATTTGACAAGAACTTATCATTTTATTATTTTCTTAATCATTTTTCCTATCTTGAATTCAATTTGACAAAAACTTATAGAGTAAATAACTTTTCTAACTTAATTTTTTTTCCGTATGTAGTATAAATAAGCTAGTTTCCTCATGATACTCATATAAATATTAATATTAATATATATGTACTTCCTTTTTCAAATCTCATAAACACTACATTCATGAGAAATATACTATAATATAACTCATCGGACATACTGATTAATTTTAAAGTATTCATATGTTAAATGGAATATCTTGATATGAGGCCACACTCAATCTAACAACATTAACATGAGATACAGATACTTAAATCATTTCCATTAAATTAACAAAAAAAAATGCAAACTATTAAATTATTTAATTTCCTTAATATGCCTTTTTGCTATAAATTTGGCTTCCACAACATGTGGAAAACATAAATGCAAATGTTTGAAAATTCTTCTTATCTGCAATGGTGGCAACTCTTTCATTGCATCTACACACTGACTCTGGCAACCGCAGTGTCTACGCAGCGACTTTGACTTTTTATGCACATTTGCAGCTAACCAAGTTATAAAATGCGTGTTATTAGCCTTGGCAATGAGCAATGGCAATGTTTTTATTGCTGATATTTTTGTTGTTGTTGCTGATGTAGGAATATTTTGTTTGCTTGTTGCTGCTCTTGTCGTTGCAATATTTGTGCTGCTATTGCTGAGACAGCAGCAGCACAGACACTGAATTGCGCCCAGATACGAGCACTTGCAAGTGTTTATACCCGTGCATGGTTTAGCCCATTGATGTATGTCCTCGTATTCCTAACCAAACCAGCACTAGTTAGGAGTTATCATTTGCATTTGACTTCGTTGACTTTAGTTTGTTTTGGTCTTTTGCACTGTTGACTTCGTTCTTAATGTCTTCGTTGTTTGTTCTGAACTACTGCTGATGTTGCTATTATTGCATACTGCATTTTTTGCTACTTTTTTTAAGTTTCACCATCATCATTTGACTCCAACGGAAGACATCCTTTAACGGTTTTAATGATCAACTTGTGCAGGATAACATTTCTATTCCAAAAAACGAAACAAAACTTTGGCATGGTGACACTTTTGGATATATACGTGTATCATCCATTTCAGCATTCCAGTATGCGTGCTGGTTTAAAGTCAGATAATTGTACATTCAAATCTAATTAATTCTTTTGGTTGTTAATTAGTAAACAAGAACAAAAAAGATGTTATCATGATTATGATTTACATATTAAATGAATTCAAAATTCGAAAAAATTTCAAAACCAGTCCTAATTAGCTTTGCTGAAGATTTAGTATATACATTAAGATTTAGTTATGTTACGTGTGAGTTATAGGTAGTATCTAAGGTTCGTAGTATGCTGCAGTTCTGTAAGTTACAATAAACAGTAAATAAAACTATTGTCGTTTATGAAAGTATAAAGAATAATGCGAACCAATACTTCAGTATGTCCTGATCAAAGAATATATCGCATTCCTATCCAACCAAACCCAATTGAACGCTGAGTATAAAAAAACTATTTCTTATTTCAAAAAATGAGAGCTGAATTGAGCTAATATTAGCTAAGTAAAGATAAAATCCTTTAACTAAAGCCACAAAGCAGAGAGAAACAATAGAGAGATCTCGAGTAGTGTCTGATGAAGAACCTCGAGTAACTGCATATATATTCTGCGAATATACTTCCTAATAAGATTAGTTGTAGAGCGAAACCTAAAAGAGAATATCTTAATCCTTATCAAAATGGAAATATAAAATTGATGGAAGTTGAAATTAGACCCATAAAAGTCTCTTTTATCTGAGACATAATGCTATTGGTTATAAAGTAAAACCTGTAGCAGAATATTTTGGACTTTATTAAAAAAGAATATAAAAAATTGGTCGGGGTTGTAACTTTTGATTTTAAATAAATCAATGTATATCGAAGAAGGGATTATATTGTGGGATGAACCTGTACCGCATATGTCTGTGTATCATTACATTGCTCGTTTCAATAAACTGTGAATTGTTAAATCGTACAGTAATACTAGGCGTGCAGGTAGTAAATAGCTGAAGTGGAAGTAGAATCGATTCCTTTTCATTTAATTTCGAAAGCTATTTTGATCCCACACTCCTCGTAATAAATGAAAATATCTGGATAATATCACTTTTTTTTTAAATGTCATTGAGTGAATTAAGGAATGGGGCTCCTGGCTTAAGAAAATTTTATCCTTGTTCTTAATATGGCACTTTTATCTTATTTCTGGATTCCAGTCAAAAGTTCTAGATATTAAGTGTGTATGCTATTTTCATCTTGATCCGGCTGTTTGAAGTCACTTGCTAGATTAATTCTTCTCTGCTTGCACCAAAAAATGATCACATGTCCATATTTATATGTAAGTAGCAGGAATCAATTTCTGTATAGGTCCTTTTAAAGATGAAACGATTTTGTCTAAATAGAAAACTGATATCTGATATGAAAAAAAAATAATTGGAGACATTATTAGAAAAACGCGTTTGCAAAAAGTTTTCATCGTATTTAAAATCTCTTTTTATTTGTATTTTACCTATAAAAACTTTATATATTTCTAAACATATATAAGCAATTGTTTATAGAATATTTATCTATAAAAACGTAGTGCCTATAAATAATGCCATTAAACTTGAACAAAAACGAAAAATCCTTATAAAAAATTTAGCGTTTTTACTTCTAGTAAAAAAACAGTTACTATAAAAATATTTTTTTCTAAAATTTTGTACTATTTGGTAACTCACATGAATGTCACATCCAATATGTAACATTTAAATAAATATTTCAGCTGCTTTTGTGACACAACCATCTCTTTTTTTTATATATATTCAAATTGCAATACAAAATAGTTTATAGACAACTCAGTTAAGCTGCATAAACTTTAGCAATAAATAACTTCAACACCATTTTTAAAATAAACAGTAAAAAAGTAAGGAGGACAAGAACAATGTCGAAATATACGCTCTACGCAAACACGTTTTCCAAATAAAATCCTTTTTCCAAAACGATAAAGAAAACTTCAAATCCTGCCATATAAAAATAAATCCCAAAAAATATATCAATCTTCCTTATTGTTCAGTACGCTCCACTTTCCATAGCACATTGTGTTTGTTGTTCGTGTATGGCTTTAACCCTTTTCAAACTTTGTAACAAATTTTGCACACATCCATTTATTTGTTGCTAAAATGATTCTAATTTTTTTTCTTATCCATTTTACATTTTTCAGCTCAATATCAATCACCACGTATAATCGAGCACCCGACAGATTTAGTAGTGAAAAAGAATGAACCTGCCACACTGAATTGCAAAGTTGAAGGCAAACCGGCGCCAACAATTGAATGGTTTAAGGTAAGATTTTTTCTTTACTTATTTTATTTTTTATAGTTTACATATATAAATATATTTTCATACATATTTGTTTATATATAAATACAAATATATGTATATATATGCTATAAAAAAAGTTATACGTAAGCAAGTGCGCCAAAAAGTGTGCTATTTTTATGTAAAAAATTGGTTGATGGCTTGTATATATGAAGTACATTTATATGCTTGCGTGCTCTTATGAAAATGGAAATTGGTGAATGTGTGGAGAGGGATGAGTAGGAGGAGTGTTTGTTAGCTGCCACTCTCAACTGCGAAAAAGAAAAATTACATTATTTCAAAAAAAAATTATACCTAATTTACGTTGGGTAACCTGAAAAGTTTGCATCTATCTCAATGATTTATAAAATTTGCATTTTATTATATGAAAACTGTTAAATGTATACACTGTATTTCAGACTTCTTATAACATGTAATCTTACACTTACTAAAGATTGCATAAAAAATTCCTACGCTAGATGAAAATACAGTTCATTATCACTAGACTTTTAATTGTGTTAAAAAGCAAAAAGCTCGTATTGTTACAGTTTTAAAGATAAACTAATAAAAATGGAATAAATGGATGAACAACACTCAGCTAAAAACTTTCTAGTATATTTATTCCTTCTTCACTTCACTTCACAACTCTGTTTCATAATCAACAATCAGGACCTTATCCCGGGTTAGGAACTGGTATGATAATTAACTCGTAGGGTCTGAATTGAATAGCTTGACGTACTAGTAAAATAACCAAACATAACCGACTCTCTGCGTATACACTGAAGAAGTTAGATATAAATACTAGTATATTTGGATCCAATCAATTTTTAAGAAATTATTATTAAAATATTGATATCCATGACAACCTCAGATCGAAAATATGATAACAGTATAGAAATTTAGTCAGAAAAATTAATTTTTAAGTAAGCCTATTTTTTTTTTGGTTAATCATACCGAACATTACTAAATATCTCTCACATGTATGAGAGTATAAAACCATCTTTTAGAAATGCACAGGCATGATTTCAGCACAGTAGAAATATATATTTAATCAAATCAAAGCACGATGACCGTTGGAGAAGAGAGATGATCAAAATGGTGAACAATAGCGGTTTACTTATGACATTCACATAGAAGGTATAGATTTGCGACTGGTGTCACAAAAACAGTGATTGTAATTGAAAAGAGATGCAGATTGAAAAAGATTGTAATTAGAAGGAAAGAGTGGATTGGGTATATTTCTAGAGATAAATCATGCCTAACCTGCTGACTATAACATTGGAAAGGCAAAATCATTACATATCGCACCTAATCTATATTATGTATTGAGTAAATTGTTAGAAATTTTATGAAAGGTTTTGTGGAACAAATCTGTGTAATTGGACATCAAAACTTTGATATATACATTATATTTTCATAAAAGTAACGTAAGCTTTCTAATGTTCATTTGTGTTAGTATAGCGTAGGATTGATTGATCGTTTGCCGTGGCGAGGAGAGAAGATTAAAATTATGAACTGAAGTGGCTTACTTTATGATAATAACAGAGAGGTTATACGATATAATCTTTTAACTGGGGTCACACTGGGGTATTTGTAGTTGGGGGTGATGAAAAGAGTGAAGTGAAAGAGTGAGTGAAAAGAGTGATTAGTAATATTTTCAGGAATGAATTATGCCCAACTTGCTTACTAGAATGTTGCAAAAGCAAACGCATTTGGTACCTATCTATGTTATGTTTTAAGCAATCTGTTAGATCAATTTATGAAAAGCTTGCTGGAATGAATCTGTGTATATAAACACCACAACTCTGATATATATATATACAAAATATTTTAATTAAAGTAACGTCAGCCTTCCACTTCTTTTCTAATACACATTTATTCAACGTTCCGAGTATCCTGCTTTCCACATGCCTTTTCCTATAGCAATAGGAATACATATTATTTTATTCTTTTAATAAAATAATAGTGAATAATATTTTTTTTAAAAAAAATCTAAAATTTTTATATGTACTATATTTTTATATAAATTTCATTTAAATTTCCTATAATATTTTCGCAAGTGATTAAAATCATAAAATTGCGGCTCACCGAGTCAACGTTTGCAATATCAATTAATTTATTTTTCAAACTCCTTTGTGTATACAAAATAAAACCCCAAAACCCAAAATGCAGAATATAAATATATTCATATATATATTCATATATATATTCATATATATATATATACAGATTCGTTCATATATATATATATTCATTCATATATATATATTCATATATATATATATATATATATATATATATATCTTTTTTTTTTGAAAAATATCACTAATAAACGAAATGGCAGGAGGATTAAGAGCAACTAGCAGCTATGAGCAAATAAAAAACTATTTTCCCTTTGTATAAATACTCACTTCTATATAAAAAAATATATATTTATATATCATGTACATATATATTTGGTTAGTCCAAATTAATGAAAAATGCAAACAATTTCGCAGGTGTAAAATAAAAATGTTGACAAAAGTTTTAAATATAAAAAATGTCAGCATTTTTTCTGCAATTAACTTTATTTATTTTAATTACACCTGTGGGCGCTTAACTTTATAAATTATGCACTGCAAAAAAAATTTGTAAACTATACACAAATTTAAATTTAATTTAATTTATTCAATTTATTTTTTTATCTTAAATTTAACTTACAGGACGGTGAACCTGTGAATACAAATGAGAAAAAATCTCATCGTGTACTTTTCAAGGATGGCGCCTTGTTCTTCTATCGCACGATGCAAAGCAAAAAGGAACAGGACAGCGGCGTTTATTGGTGCGTTGCAAAGAACCATGTGGGCAAGGCTGTCAGCCGTCATGCAACCCTACAAATAGCATGTAAGTTTCTAATTCAATTCTCATTCAGTTTAATTTTATTAAAATAATTAATTTATATTCGATTATTGAAGGATTACATATTATCAGTTTGTGTGTGCGAAAAGGAAAAAAAATATGTATATCCTTGAAGTGATTTGTTTATAAGAGAATAAGAAGAAATATTTCTAATATAAATGGACAATCTATTTACAGAACTTACATTTTTACTCATGTTCTTATTGCATTTACAAAGTTACAAAATTTTAATTAAAAAATTAAGTACCTTTTCTAAGTAAATCCTTAAGGCTGGCTATACGGCTAATGTTATGCAGAAAATCATGAGCGCGTCAAAATTGATTCATTTCGGTCATAACTAAAATCCATGTTTTGCAATGAATCATATCAGTATTGTCAATATTTTTACTACTACCATTGTACTCTATGGTTGGGTCTAAATTTCAAAGAAAATGTAGATATGTACATTTACAATTTGCTACCAAAAATGACCAGCAGCAAAAAAAAACTCAAAGTAGCTTTAAAAATGTTAAATTATTATTATATTTTCTTATAATAATTGTTAACAATACTTATAAAACTATATGTCTTTCTTTAAAATCGGAAGGTGTAAGAGTTCACCTATTAGCGCTAAATGAACTTGGCTGTTTTACTTCCTGGCGGTTTTTATCTAAAATTTATTAAAATTGACATAGGTAATTTGCTCTTAAGAGGCACAAATTTCGACATTTACGACTGAGTAACACTGTTTTGACCACGTGTCTGGGCACATATAGCCGCGTCCTCCATGGCCGACATTTTGTGTTTCCTCTCAATCTCAATTTTTTAATTTGTATTTGATTTTGACGTACCCATGACTTTCTGCATAACATGCTTAAGTTATTGCCAGATATCCATCGTTAATGGGCTTTGAAAATCTTTATAATACACTTTTTGTGTTCACTTCTATAGCTGTCAAGTTTTTTACTTATACTATTTGGAAGGCAATTTGGTAATATAAGAAAAATTAAATCAGTGTCTGAGATTTTATAAAGTGACGTTATACATAACTTTTTCGCAGCATTACAGATTATACACCTACCCTTTAATCTTTTTCGTAGTATTCTTTCTGTAACCAGAATTTTTCTGATAGCTTTATACTTCATTTTTTCATAACAGCGACTACTGTACTGTTGGTAAGGTCTTATTACATTACGTATGTCTTAATTTGGGATATACCAGTTTATACTATTGATAGTACGAAGAGTTTTGGACTGAATATAAATGAATAATTAAAAGAAATAAATTCATTCTAAATAAATTTCGGATTAAAAAAAAAATTGTACATACTAAGCATGTGATAGGCAGGAGAATAGATAAGACGACATATAGCTACATGCGTATATGAATAATATACTGATGTTAGTACGTCTAATAAGCTTATTAATATATTCTTAATATACTAATATATATATATTTGCATCCTATATTCTATGTTAGTAGAATATATATTTTTATATACTGATGTTAGTACGTCTCATAAGCTTATTAAGAATACGACTGCATAGTATATACATATATAATTTCTAACGTCTTATTTTCTATGTTACAAACAGTTTAATTAACCTAATATTATATATATATATTATTTTAAATAATACATAAAAAACAACTCCAGTTCTTATCTAAGTTATGCTAATCAGTGACCTTTTTTTTTAATTTTTTTTTTAAATTATATATCGTCTTGTAAAAACAATAAAAAATAATTTAATTATTTATTTAATAACTGGAACAAATGCTTTTTTTGAGCTATAAATTTTGTGTATTCGTACAAGAAGGAAACAATAAATTTAAAAATTTATTTATTCTTCGTGGAAATAACTCATCTTATTTACAAATTATATATTTGCACCACATATATCATTGTAAACATCGCATATGAAAGAGAAGACCGCTCGTAGTGTTATCAATCAGCACCAATTCACTTCAATTTTGTTATAGGGAGACCATAAAACGAGAAGCGAGAAACGAGAAACGTGAAGAGGACGTCAGAAGTAAAGCAGTTATTCTTATTTTTCGCAAACAAGGGAAGATGTTCTAAAAAATAAAAAAAATTGCAACAACCCGTGAAATGTGCGGCATTTGTTTTCAAACCTAAGATACGAGGAGGCCAGAGTAAAGCTTTATTGACATAACAGTCGAGAACAGCGGCGTTTCGCTGTTATTTTGGTCATAAAACGTGAAAAGAAGAAAAGAAGAAAAAACGGAAAATAAAAATGTGAAACCGCATAAAAACAATAACTTGGAAGCAACACTGACTAACACTAACTGAATTTTGTTTCGTCTGATGATGTCTCATGGAAGTTTTGGAGAGCTACAGTCGGAAGGTGACTTCTATTTGAGAAGTAATTCAATCATCGAGGAATATATTGTTTGTATAGGAAATATTGGTTTTCTTATATATAAATGATTATGTACTCAAGATATATAAATAATTAAACTACAGCAGATTTTTAATAGTCCGAATGTCCTTTAAATTGGAATAACTCGTAATGCAGACAAAATAAGAAAATCTACTAAAATACCTGGTAGTCCGGATGGTAGACTGATTTGTTGATTCGAATCCTTCGCTATGCAATTACTTCTCGATGGTCTTTATGAGTTAAGTAGTATGCACGAATCTATATCTTAATTATCCTGATTGACTTTGATTTTAGTGGATTATTCTAAAATAATCGAAAATAAAATTTTTCTTAAAAATGTTTTGGGTTAGCGTGACATATTAAACATTACACACAGCTTATTGTGTGTGGTCATGGTTAATATGACACTACAAGAATTATTAAGGTTCTACTGACCTGTTGAACTACAGATCATAATACATATTCATGAGAAACAGTTTTTTGTTAATTTTCCATAAATTGGTAACAAGTGACTTACATTCCTATTTACAATAAGTCATTCAATTGGATTTCAAACGAAAATTAGAGGGTTCAAAAATATCTTAATGTTTTAGATTAAAGAATAATAATATGAATCTTGAAGTCACTAATGCTGGTTATAGATTATTCCAATTAATGTTTTCTTAATTTCGCCTCTGTGAGAATATGCACTACAATTACTGTTGGAGCGTAAATGTATCGCGTACGTGGTGATGAATCTGGCAGCTTTAGTGTCTGTTTGCATTGCGTTCCGTTCCTTAAATGCCAGGTTCCTTAATCTTTGCTTCCCTCCTCATTTATTTATGTAGATCTGTTTTGATTGTTTTTTTACTTCGCGAAATTTATAGCAGATGTTCACAAGATGAAATAAAGTGGAGCAATAATTTTAGCAACATTTCAAAGAAAGAAGTTAATTTATAAACAATTTGTAGGTAAATAAACTGTAGTGTAATTTTGGATGCCCCCTCACCACAATGAATGTGGTACTTAAGAAAATTTAATAAAATTTTGCATATAAAAGTGCAAATAAAAGTGCAGATAAAAATTCAAATAACAATTCAAATAAAGTTCGTTTTTCATTCAAAATAAATTAAGTTAAATTCAATAAACTTTTTACATTGGCGAATTGCAACAAACTTTTCGGAACAAAAGAACTGTTAAGTTGTCTGGCTTTTATTTGACTATGTTTGGCTCATTTTCGACCACCTTAAGGCTCTGAGCCACAAAAAAGGCAGCATGAAGTCCCGACTGCATGGACGGGGACTGCAATATCCACAACGATTTTTATGAACCATAACAATTTATTTCAATTTCGTCTCACGTCAGCGCATTTTGCGCATTCAATGGATTTTGACTGAAAGCGATTTTCATTTTTGTTATCCTCGTTTTTTCCTTTTTTTTGTGAGCTTTGTAGCTTTTTTTCTCTAAAAATTTTTGTGGTTAAAGTAGAAAAAAAGAATCCATTTGGCTTTTTAGTTTTTCCAACTAACGAATATTCGTATTTTGCCAGTAGTCATATGGGCTGGCCTAATCTCTCTCTGCATTTCTCTTTGAAACGAACTCTGTGGCTTAACGTGAAATTTCATATTTTGTCCAACTATCTTTGCCATTCTAATATTTTGGCTGAAAGCATTATAAAAATGTGCATCCATATTGGTAATTTAGGTTTACGGTTGAGTTCATAACCGATGATGGCAAAGAGATAAAATTTTTTCAAAAGAATTTATGCTAGCATAGTTAAAAATTAAATTAATATTTTTCAAAA